GTTGTGGTAGGCTACTGGCCAGGAACAGCTTGGCTTTTTAAGCCAAATAAATTTTGTCTGTTAATTGTGAAGAAAACAATTGGAATAGACTGAACTTTTGTGGTGGTTTTTTTTTTTTTGTCTGTGTTTTGTTTTTTTCTTTTTTAGGAGGAGAAAAGACACACACCAAGAAATTAAAAAAAGAATGTTGGGATTACCAACCTCGCCAGCTCCCTCCCCCTCAAGCCCAACATGATGGGAGCCTGGGCAATAGCTGGTCATTGCCTTACACAATCTTTCATCAGCATAGATAGACACAAACCCCATGCTGCTTTACCAAAAGCCTGATAAAGTTGACCACAACGTATGGAGCAATGTCACCACACAGATGCTCTCTGGCCTCTGCCTGGTGCTCGTGCTGGGACCCACTCTGGCTGTCACCCTCTCAGCCACACGACCTCCCCTTGCACATGCGGGCAGCCATGGCTCATTGATCCGATTTGGGAGTCACCTCAGGGAAAGGTGATGAGAATACAAAAAGGGTTCAATTGCCAAGATGTTTGTTTAAATCTGCCCTCCTTTTCCCCACTTAATTCTCAACAAGGTGGACAAAACCACACCAGTTGTTTTAAATTGGGTAGTGGTTTATGCTGACTCTCCTCATCCTAAGGTAAACATATGCCCTGCATCTTAACTGTATATTGTACATCCATTGACACAAATGCTTCGGTATTAAAGGGTCTGTGTAAATGTTATTAAAAAGTTGATTTCCCAGCAGGGATACACCACTCCAGCACATCTAAGAAGAGCATGTGTGGATATTGGCACAGCTCAGACGTGACTTGCAGAATGATTATGTTTTACATGTGAAACTATGAAGTCCCACTTCAGTCATGTAACAATGAACACATATTACAGACAGTAGAAAGCACAGTAGCTGCCAGACACTTCCACACTGAGATGCTCAACAAAAACACAGCAAAAAGAAATTGTCATCGCAGGCTGGGCATTTGGTTGACCTGAGATCTTCTACTCCATCGGAGTCTTGACTCAGTGACTCACATTCCTATGTCAGGAGACCTGCAGGACCAAGTATCTGCTTAAACAGGACTCAAAAACACTGGATGGGATTGGAGATTGTGTGATACAGGACTATTGTTTTGCTAACTAGTTACAGCTGTTTGTATTCAAACAGTTGGGGGGGAAGAACAGTATTTAAAATAGCCAAAATGTCACCACAGAAGTGAAAAGCAATGCTTTATTCCATTGCCTGAAATCCCAGCTTTTTTATAAAAAACAATATAGTTCCTTAAATAAAATAGAATTAAAAAAAATCCCCAGACTGTGAAAGCCCCTGAAGGGATGGGTAGAGGGTGTGGAAGGAGGAGAGAGCAAGAAAGAGCACTTCTACTACAATGCCCTGTTTCCTTGACTCTCACTAGGATGACTCCCTGATCTAAGCAGAGGCACTCCACATTGCACACCAGCACCTGCAGGAAGAATCAGGGCCTCTTACTTCATTACCTGGTGGCTCTAGAAAAGAGCAGGAGAAACAGCACAAATGCTTTGGGAAGCAGTAAGCCCAGTCTTGGCTCGCTAGTCATAAACCTAAAAACTGCCAAAAGACACGCATGCACACAAATATGTTGGCTGCAGAGTCCTGCTGGCTAACCCTGCTTTTCAAAATGAGTTTGAATAAATAAAAAACAGAAGAAAAAAGCAAAGCCATACACAAAACCAAACTTCCCCACTTCCATACAATATTTCCATGAAGCTCATCCTTTCAGCACCCACGGCCACCAACTCGGAGCCATTTTGACCCAAGGGAATGACTCAGAGACCAGCCTATTGCCACATGCACCATATTTAATAATTTTCACATACTCTTTGCTCAGTCCCCTCTGCTTACCAACAAAAGAAGACATCTTAGAGCTCTGTCTTTCCCTGAAGAGTTTGTAAACTGAATGCTGGGAAGAAAAACTCTGAAAAGACTCAGTGGGAAAAGAGCGATGTAACATGCACTGCTGCAGCAAAACTACCAAGCATACGTTAAGGCTGTGAAGCCACGTGGTTTTCATTTGGGATGTGTGGGGTGAACACATACGCTTGCTTCCTTTATAACATAAGCACAACAAAGGAAGGCTTTGTTGGAAAGCCAAGGGACAGCCTCTCCGCACACTTAAAGGCTAAGTTACAACGTAATGGGAACTGTGAGTCATAGCTGTGGGGCCCCTGCTCACAGGCACAAAAATCCCCTCTGCTGCAACAGGCAAGGAGCTTAGCTTAGCGAGGAGCAAAGACAGTTTCCAGCTCCACATGTGGCAAATACAAGGCTGAGCTGAGAGCACATGTTGTGGATGACTTAGGACGCAAACACACCCCTTTCAGTCGACATTTCTTCCTGTAACTCCTTCAGAGCTTGAGATCATAACCCTGCACTCGTTCCAAGAGCATGAAGCAGCTATGGCTCAACAGGGAGGTGGGATGGACATCAACCAAGCACCTTCAGACTGTCTTTTGACTTTGGCTGCAGAAGAGTGTGGCCATGATACTAAAACTGAGCATAGCCAGCTTGCTAGGTAGGACCACAGTAGAGCTCTATGTCCTCAAGTCACCTAGTGTGCCAGATAATTTATGTCACTGTGTGTTGCAGTAGGGGAGGGTCAGCTGATGGATTCCAGCTACGCAAAACACAGACATCCATCTCATTCTTGCCCCTACTAGCATGGGAGAGAAAGGTAAGGGTCTCCTTCAATTACCATGAATGGGTTGCAATCTGCAGTGCAGAAGTGGCTGTGCGCAGAAAATCCAAGTGTTTTCTCTCACATTTCCATCAGTCCCAAGGTATTTGGTTGCTAAATCTCCAGAGGCCTTTACAAATCAAACTCTCATCTGAAACCAGTGGCAGTCAGGTACCTGAACATCCAGGAGGAAATAGCTTAGGATCTAAGCATTTTGAGAGCAGATACACACACAAGAACAAGCCCCTCTGGGAAGCACTACACTGTGAACATCAAGTGTCACAGTTTAAGCTTGAAAATGTCTCCTTAGCTCCATCTCCAGTATCTATTAATATTCTACAAGCGCTTAAAAAATAGGGGGGGGGGGGGGGGGGAAGAGTTCTGAAAAAGCAATACAGTCTCCCTCTCTGCCTACACGCATGGCCTGCACTGTGCCTGGATGATTTCTGGCAAGCCTTTGTCTACTTTGTTCTGAAAAGCTTCCAGCAAATCTCCATCTCTGTCTCCCAAGGCAGTCTAGACTACTGCTTAACCACCTCTACCTTAAGAAAGTCTCCTTATCTCTGCATGTGCTTTCTCCAAAACAAGCTGTAAGCCCTGCTGGGATTCTGGCACATACAGGCGGTATCTTGTCTTAGGGAGCTCCTTCCCTCCCTGCAGGCAGTGTGGGAACCGTTTGCTCCCACTCCTTATCAGGTGCTCATTGAGCATCACCAAATCCTCTGCAACTTGGAAGAACTGAAAGCAAGGCACTCTGAAGCTGATTTTCACTGTTTTCATTTGGGTTCGAATGCAAACTCTATCTTTTCAATTGACAGCACCCACCATCCCTTGAGGCAACCCAGAGAAAGATGCACACAGGTAGCTCAGTGACACCTTATAGCTAATGTCACTTTTCTGCCCAGGCGCAAGAACCTTCTCTACGTGCTCTTCCCTCTGGTTTTGAAAGTGAAGGAACAGTACATTTTCCTTTGCCAGGCAGCCGAAATAACCATATGAATCGGAGACTGTGCCTAACAGGGCTTAAATTCTGCAATGGTTGGCCTCAATGGTCCTCATCTTTGCCAACACCATGCTTGGTTTTTCCAAGCCACATGCATGGCAGTGGGGTGCATCAGATGTTTTCCCTGTAAATGCTGAAGAAGCATCCCTGCCTTGAGGCAAGTATCACTGATACAAATAACGTGCTAGATCAGCCAGAAAAACCTGCCTCTGGAAGAAGTATAATAATGAAAGACAGTGGGGGGAAAAGGCGAAAGAGAAAGAGCTTCATTTACACACAGGAGAATGGCAATGGGCCAACTCTCACAGCTTTGATCGGGGCTGGCAGGAGGAACATGCCAGGGAACGCTGTGAGCTGAGCTTTGCTAGGGCAGAGCAGCTGTTTGAACTGACTGGGATGGGAAGAAGGGACAGACACCACCCAACACAGACACAGATCCAGAATAAATAGGAGGAGAAAAAAAAAAACAAAAAACCAAAAAAGAATCATATGGAGTACATGAAGTAACAGGTACTCAGAGCTGTAGCAGGACATTGTGGCAGCCAGGACTGCTGCTCCGGCAGCTCCCTCTGCCATCAGCTCCAGTTCTCCCCTTCCCACCACTGCTACCCACAGAGCCTCCTGTCACACACTCACAGAGCAGCACTGCCAGACATCTGGGTTTCACCCGGCAGTTCTGCTTTCAGCGGGTTTTTCAGGGGTTTTCGTACAAACATGAAAACTCTACACATTGCTGGCTTGTAAAAATCACTATTTCTCCTCAGTCAGGCTGCCTCTGCTATCACCGCTGATCATCAGGAGGTTGTCCAGGCACTTCCAGGCCTTTGCTCTCCCTCTAACACCTGGAAGAGGGGGGATCTAGTGCTTTCCCAGTTTGGGTAAGGTACCTCTGGCAAGTTCTCGTCCATAGCAGCAAATGCAGCAGTAGCTGCTGTCAGCAAAGCCGTTGGTTCCCTTTCGCCATCACTCTCTGACTAGAGCCCAACTGTACCAAGCAGTCAGATAAAAGCAATTTTATACCGAATGCCAAAAGAGAGAGGCTTTTAACACTGATCTTCTAAACCGAAGCCAGTTCCAAATTAAACCTTCACAATATTGCTACTTTTGCAGTGCTGTCTGACCCTCACTGCTGGGAACATTTACTAAAATATGAGCCACACCACTTTCCTTCCGGCATTTCTGCTGCAATGCTCAAGATCTCCTAGTCAGAGCCCATCAAGAAGCTTTTTTAAAATCACATCAAATCTGGAAGGAAGAATGACCCCCGGAGCACTTACCTGCTACACGACTTTGCAGGTGCTCATTAAACTTCACATTACTACTATCACCGTGATGCAGAGAAGACTATATTCAGTCACCCACTGCTGAAGCAGAGCCAGGAAGTCTGCAAAACACAAAGAGAATGAATGAGGAAGTTCAGGCAGAAGATTGGTCCATAATGCAGTTATCTAAATTAGGGATTGATTAAAAGAGAGATTAACTCACCCCCTTACCTAATAAAATTATTATAAAACCTCAAGAGACCACAAGTAATCAGCTTTGAAGTGATCCGGGAAGAGTTAAAATGCTGCTTCTCCCATGGGAAAGCGTGCAAATCGCGCTGCGGGTCTGTCAGTGTTGCAGACATACCGGCAAGCAAGGACCTCTCTCCTCTGACTCCATCCTCACCCACCAGCCCTCTCCTTTTAAAATGGATTAGGGTCAAATTAGCGGCTGCATACGTGCAAGGGCTGGGACAGTTTTGTCTGGGATTGGTTTGTCTCAGAAAACGCATCCAGTTGCTGTAAGCAGCTTATGAGGTAGAAATACTTGCTCGGGGAGCTGGGTTTAGAGCGTTAGTGTGAGAAACAGAAAACACAGAAGAGGCAGGAAGTAAGCCTGAGAGTGTAGCGGAAGATGTGAAACACAGAACCACAAAAGATAAACTACCATATTTTAGGCAAGAGAAGTTAAGAAATTGTAGGTGAAACAGGAAACAAACTGAACTCCTCCAAGCAGAAGCAGGAGTGGATGGGCCTGACAAGCTGGCTGCAGGCAGGAAAAGGAGACCTTACCCAGCCGCGCACAGCTGGGCTGGGGAACCCGAATCCACCACCCTCATTACCAGCCACGATCACCACTTCTAACCCTCTGTCTTGATCCAAAGGATGATGAAATAATGAACAGCCCTTCCGTGGGCTGAGCTGGGCTTTGGAGCTGGGTCCTTTGAGGGCTCGGTATTAGGCTGACACGTCCTTGCTCTCCTGAACCCTTCACTTACGCAGCTGTTGGGGAGAGGATGGCTCAACCCTCCCTCCTCCCACGTACCTGCTCTGACCAGACCATGTGTACAGTTTCACTTCTCCATTTCCGTCTTCAACTGTGAGGGACTGTCGGGCAAACGGGGTCTGCCCTGACCTCCCAGCGCCTTACAGCAGCAGGGCTGCTGGTGCCTCTGCTCGACCGGCGCCACGACACTACCAGCAGCAGCACAGACTGCAGAGCACAGGAGCAAGACAATCCCAGGAGGGCTGGGTCCACGCTGTAATGTCCCAGTGGATGTTTGTTAGCCCTCAGGGCCTGCAGTGCCTGGTTGTACGGTGGCTCAGGGCCAGTTAGGTACAGCAGGCACTTCTGCTTGGAGGAAAGGAACTATGAAATGCCACACAGGAACTGCTGCTATGGGACTTACATGCTCTCACTTGATAACATAAGTTTTAAATCTCAAAAGAGAGAGTAAGTCAGGGTCTCCCTCTACTATATGTGTGTAGATGTTGGAGAGACCTTGACTGAACCTTAAGGGATGGTCTAAGGTCACCACAAGAATGTCCTTCTCAGCAGTGGGTGCATCTGCGCTGCATCCTCACTCACTAGCACAAACCTCCTCTTGCTCCCTCGGAGGCAGTCTGAGCAACACAGTGTTTGTTGTGGGCCAGCCCTATACAAGAACTTCCTCTCCACAATGGAAATCAACCCCTCCCCACTCCAGTGAAGCTCAGCAGCTAGTCTGGCCTTCAGGTCATGGCAGTAAAACCTGTTTGTTTTGCTGAACCACTGGTCAAGGTTGGCTCAGCCAACTTTGCATGGCCCACAGGTGTGTGGAAATCAAAACAAGCTAAAAAGAGAGCCCTGTTGCAGCTGTACCCCTGGGCCAGCTCTCCATCCCTTGAGCTGCTTGAAGCTTGGCTACCCACCTCCCTTCATAGTGCCCACACTGAGGGATGAATGGGCAGAAGGTTTTGCTTACCCAGCTGAGCCCACATCCCCGCAAAACCTGGAATTCATGGTTGGGCACACGACGATGCCGCGCAGCACACACCCTGGCCACACTCCCTCCCTCCCTCCAGCCTGAAAACCAGAGTCTCTACCTCTCTCTGCCACCCAGCAATTACATGTGCTGATGGAAAGTATGCTGCCTGGCAGCAAACCTGCTTTTTCCCAGTGTAAATGGATTATAACAACTCTTGGGATAGAAAGAGCTGGCCCACCCAACAGCCCATTTTAAAGGAGATCTGAGGGAACAAGCCAGGAGCTTTTTTCCAGCTCCCTTCTCCATTGCACCATTGCTATGGATTGCAGTTGCAATTCTGTAGACCAGAGTGTGCAGGACAGGACAGCAGGGAAACTTGTGCAGACTCTGCATCAACTTCATATACTTTATCAGTGCTTCCCAGAACAACTGCTTCTTAACGTTCACCTTGTTGACAGAGGCTGAATTTAGGTTAAGTTTTGCCAGGATTGCCTTTGTTTTAGAGGGGATGCAGATGTGGCAGGAGAAAGCAATACAGCTAGAAAAATAAACCACCCCTTTTGCTGTATACCCATTACACTCAGGGAACTGATTTAAGCTACTGGCAAAACCAAAAATAACAGTATGCCACAATACAATCCACTAAGTGCGTTTCCTGATACTGCACTATCTGCATTAATTTATTTGCAGGCAAGCTCCAAGATACTGAAACAACAGTCACAAAAGCCAGCCTAAAATTGTCCTTATGAAACCCATGCAGTTTTTGCTTAAAAAACAAACTCAAAATTAGTTAGATCTGCTCATGGAACACCAGTGTTAAGTTTCTGCAGGTCAGATTCCCTCCCCCTGTTAATCATTGCCACATAAGGAGGATCACAAGCAGTGGCATCCCTTTGAGACTGCTGCACAGCAGAGGCACACAGGAGCTCTTATTGCCATGGAGGAACCAACAAAAACCAAAAGGGGAGCAGGACATGCAGCTTTGGTGGCCCTAGTCATCAGATGGCCTGAAACAATCACTCAGGAAAAGCAAAGTCCCCCAGTCCCTGACCAGGGCTATTTAGTCTGACCTGGGGCCAGGGGAGGAAGAAAAAAAAAAAAAAAAAAAAGGCTGTTCTTAGTATATTGTAATGCTCCAATCTACAAAAAGAGGAAGACAGTTAGGTGGGGAGGGGCCACTGCCTGAACTCTAGATAAAGAGGTTTTGGTGTGCACAGGTCACTTCTCCCTTGCAGGTGCTGCTGGTGCAAACACAGATCACTGCATTCTGCACAGCCAGGTCATGCAAAAAAAAAAAAAAAGAAAAGTGTCATCTGCCAGCTGGGAGCCAAGCAGCCCTCAGGGCTGATCCCAGTACCAGCATTGGCTCTCCGACCTTTGGCAAATCAATTCACCTCTCTCCACATCTGTGGCAATCACACTTAATATGTGCATTTCCCATGTAGGAGCAGTGTGAAGCATCTATTGTGCTGAAAACAAGATTGAAGAGAAGGCTTTATGTTTCTGTTCCTAATTTCCATGCTCTGCTTTTCCTCAAGGACTGAAGAGACCGCTTTCAAGTATATCAAGGAAAACTGGGACCAGTAAGTTTTAGAAGTAGGTGTCTATGAAGATAGACAGAATCACTTTAGTCAGAGCTGCAGAAGAGCATTGTCACCACCACCATCCAAACTCAAAAACCTCACAAAACAAACCATGCTGCGCTACAGCTGCTCTCCTGCCCAAGTGCTGCTTGCCTGGTAGCTCAGGTCCTTGCCTGGCAGCTCACCCAAACACATGCCCGAAGGAGACACGCTGGGTATGGTTTAGGCCTACAGCATTCATTAAAAACATGTTAATAGTAATGCTTGCTTAAAGACACTGCTGGAGCTCATCTTGTCTGACCACGTAACAGACACCAATAGCAACATGTCCTGTTTCCTGAAGGATTTTAACACGGCAGTTCCCAAGAAAACTGCTTCGGTGGGAGATCGCCAAGTTGAAGACGCAAAGGCCACTGAGGCTCTGGTTCTCCATGTCAGTTTTACAGCCCATGACCTCCAGTATCCCAGTTCTGACTTACTCCGATTTGAGCTACAAATACCTACTGACCATCTTCAAAAAGATGCCCACACACACGAATGGCAGCTCTGCTAAAAGCATCGCTCCTTCTCTCTGTACTCATGAGAGATACTATATCTCAGAAAAAAGGCAAAAAAGTTTTGCAACAAGCTAAGCCCAAGCCACGTAATACTGACCACGCAGCAAAGCTCAATGACGCATTCCGCACGGATCGTATGTGCCGAGACCACCACTGGCCTAGGGACCCCGGTGCTGTCGGCACCGGCAAAAGGAGGCGGCTGTGGGGTCTCTGGCCGGCGTGACTCGATCCTGCAGAGGGTCCCCGTGTG